TGAGTGAGTGTGTGTGTGTGTGTGTGTGAGCGTGTGGTAGTGGAGGGGTTGCTGTTGATGTGCAAATGTGCATCATATTGAGAGCTTGTGAATAGGGAGGTGTGACGTAGAAAGAGAGCAGAACGCAGGTGCTTATCTCGGGGCTGTCACAGACACAGTGTGTCATATTCCTGGGGACTACCTTTCAAAAGCTACCGGCTCCAGCGCTAGAGCATCAGCCGAGCAGGGACCACAGATTCCGCAGCTAACTTTCAGCATCAGTCAAGTAGGTTGGTGTTCCGCTTGTTTTTTGATGTGACAGTAGCTGTAGCCGTCTGTGGTCGGTGTTTGGGTAGCAAATCTGTTTGTGTTTGAACTGAGAGGATGCGTTGCTGTGACAGTGCAAAAAAAAGTTTGGAATGAGAATTAGAATTTAGAATGTTCATTGTAACAATTTACTTCATGTTTAATTTATTATTTTAGAAATATATATTTAAAAAAAAAGGATCCATAGAGCACGAGGGCAGATTAGACAGCTCAAACTTGTGTATTTGAAGAAGAATGACCTATTTTTTAATCACACAGATAACTGTAGATGTTGCCTACCTAAATGAAAGTCCCTGTGCGTGTGCCGGAGGGTTTAAGCGAGTCTTAGACGTGTTAGCATTGTGTGTTAGCACAAAGCTTGGGCTTTCGGTACAACAGCTGAGCACACACAGCCCTTCCTGTCTTTCATCTCAAACTTTCAGGCTTTAGGCTGCGTTAGCGCTGCCTTCAATCTGCCATGTTTAGGTCGCACGCCGTTTGGTTTCTGTTTAGTTTCGCACTTGCAACCTGAAAAGCAAGCTCAGATCTGTGTTTATGTGGAGTCACGGATAAAACAGACTTTATGGTTGTGTTTTATATTGTAGACGAGCTGAAACTTTGACTTGCTAAAACAGAGGATTCTGTACGTGTGCATGAGGATCTTAGAAATTAGTAACATAGAAGCAGATGACATTATGACACAATCTCTACTGAGATGTCATTGCAAACTGAACTGAATGGCATTTTATGAAGCAGTTATTTTAGTACGCTTAAGTTCGCATGTGAGCTGAATTTTCCAAAGTAGAAATTTGAGTCATTGCCATGTCAACAGGTTATTTTTATTGATATTTTTGGTTGTTGTTGATGAACACATTCAGTAGAAGTACTTGGATTTTTTTTCCCCAGGCCCCCTCCAAAAACAAATCTATTAAATAGCATCATCCTTTTAGTTCAGTAAATGTAGAGTTTTAGACAATTAATCATTATATTATCCCACTCTGGTTAGTATATCGATTTATATGCATTGTTTTTACTAACATCTTAATAAAATAATATTTCATAAGTACATCTGTTATGAAAATACTATGTTAGTATTTTGTTAATTTAACAGAACATTTACTAACTACTGTTTTATCAAAAAGTACAGTAGTTTTGTCTGTTTTCAAGTCAAAATCTCCTTGTACACATCTTAAAATTCAGCACTTTGAGATATTTCTGTGATAAAGTAAAATTCTCTTATAAAAACAAGTCCAGATTATGTATTTCTCATCATTTTGTTTTGTTGTTCGCCGCTGCCAAGTAAAAGTCAACAGAATCGCGTGTCGCCTAAGCAAACTGAAGGATGTTTTATACTCCTCTGTCACGTTTCATTCAAATTATGTCAGGATTGGAGTTGCATTACAGGAGCGCAACAGTTTCATCCTGTGGTGTAATGAGAGTTTAGGGAACTGTCCATGGTGCTGCTCTGCAAAATGGGTGCTGAACAGACTCTCTTCCTCAGAAACACTGGCCTCTGCTTTACTGAAGGTCATCCGAGTTCGGCTTTAACCTTCATGACCTTTTAACCTGCTGGTTTACACCCATTCAGCAGGGTAAAACTACAAGTACAACACAAATTAAAGCAAAACATCGACACGCTGCCATTTTGGCTCAATAAATCAAGACACGCCACCAAAACGTTCACGTCGTAATTGTGTATCCGTGTAACATCTTGTTACCTGTTTTTTTTTCTTCTCAACCCCTTCCACAAAGCCATCCATGCACAAACTTCACTTGGTTAATCCAAGCAAATGAATTTTGTGGGCTTAATTCAACAAGGTTTTAAAAATGTTCCATCTGCTGTGGAACAGCTGGTGATAGACTGAATGTAATTAATTACTTAACTTTTGAACAGTAGTCCAGGAAAACAGAGCGCCGTGTGTGTGTGACTGTGTGTGTTGGAGAAATGCAAGTGAAATCAAGAGCATGGCAGGAAGATTACACACAATAGAGCCACGTTTGATTTCTAGCGGCGAGCGTTTGATGCGATGACTCCGGAATTATATTCGCAATTAACCGAAAACGTGTAAATGGAAACAAAAGGCACGGAATCCTCTCCATCTGATTGGCTTTAAGAGATTCAAGCGACACATCAAATGTTCCTCTGAGCAGATATCTTTCATATAACAGATCGAATGCGATTTGAAAAACATCCAGTGCAAAAATAGAAGTAAATCGAAGTAAAGCACAAAAAGGCAGCGAGCCATGTTGTGTAATTAAAATTACATGGGCCTTTTTGACACCTTTTTTTCCCTCTGAATATATTTCAGCATCTACCTTGATAGCAGTGTTACCTCATTGGCTGCGGGTGTGTTTGTTGGCCTAACTATAAAGGATCTGCCTGCACCCTTGTGGGCTGGGAAGAATTAGGATTTATGAATTTATTTCCTCTGTTGTATTGTTTAAACAGCTTTGGTTCAGTTTTGATCCTTTCCTATGCCTTTGAGGCTGTTCCATGGTGTCAGCTGTTGACTGATAAGTAAGAGAACTGCCGCACAGTATGAATGAAAGAGAAGTAGCGGTTGGTAAACACTGATAAGGGATAAATAGAAAGCGGTCAGGCAGAGATAGTTCAGTGGGAGCCCAGATTGTGTGCGGTCTGGTAAAATGAGATTCTAAGCCTTTCCTTTTTTATTCTTCCACCCCCCCTCTTTTAACCACACCATCCACCACCCCTTCACAACACACACACACCATCCAGCACCCCTCCGGATTGCGTTTGTCTGGAAAATCTCCAGTGACCTCGCTCGGCAAGTCCTGGGCTTTAGAAAGCTTTTTTTTTTTTATGGTATATGTGTGTGTGTGCATCTCTGTTTGTTTTGTCGACTGACATGGGTCAAGTTAGCCAATAGACATGTCCCTGCTGATTATGGACAGCTGCCACTGGTGTGAGTCCCACCTTAATGCATTTTACATGGAATTATGAGCAGAAAGACAATATGGAGTCAGAAGGACACAGCAGCCTGTGCAACCTTATTAAACATCGCTCTGATTGTAGGATATTTCTATTTGCTTTGAATAGTGATATTGGCAATGCACTCTATCTCTTTATCATTTATCAAAACTCGGGAGTAAATAAAGTAATAATAATAAAAATTTTTTAACATTTTTTAGTTGTGGTCACGGTAGAAATATGAAGGAAATAAATAAAAATAATTTCAGTAATAGTTTGCGGTGTTTTATATTGACATTGCTTTGATTGTAAAATATGTTTGTTTTTGTTTGTTGGCACTCTTTATTATTTTTTTTTCTCTTAAACTGGAGAAATTGAAGTAATAATAATAATAAAAAAATCTGTTTTTAGTCACGGTCGCTACAATCAAATAATAATATGTACTTAGTATATATTATATAATAATGCTATTTCTTATTGCTATTTGTTTATTATTGCTATTTTTCATCAATAGCTTGCTATGGTTTAGCTATTAATGTGTTATAATTATATCACGTTGATTTTAAAACACATTTCTTTTTCTTTTGAAGAGGGATATTGGCACTCTATCTTTTTTTCCTAAAACTTTAAAGTAATTGAAGTAATATTATAAAAATGTTTTACAATTTTTTAGTTATGGTCACAGTAAAACAATTATGGCAACAAAAAAACTGAAAGAATTATATATAAGCTTTCATTTTTTATTAATAGTTTGCTATACTTTATCCATTCATGTTTTTTATTTACTAATAAACATTTATTTTTGTTTTGAATTGATATTGTATTGATATTGTACAAAAAGAGTACAAAATTCATATTTTTTTAGTCATGGTAAATATTAAAGAAATTAATAAGAATGTTTACATATTTTTATATTTAATTGATAGTTTATTGTGCTTTATTTACTCCTTTTATATTTAGAATTTTAACACATTTTTATTTATATTTTAATAGCATGTTTATATATTACTTGTATTCATGCTAATTTTACACTTTGCATATTTATTAAAATGTTGCATCTTGTGGAACATTACTGAAATTGAAATAACATTAATTGCATTTACTATATTCATTTATTAGATTATGGCTGAATATTTTAGGACCCAAAGTGATGTTTTATTCAAGTTCATCATATATGAAAGCATTCTCTCCTTTATTTATTTATTAATTTATTATGTGACCTTTGCTGGAACACCCCTGAACCGTTTTTTCTTTTCCAATCCATCTTTTATGAGATTAGGCAGACCTTCATAAGTTATACCTTGAGGGTCACCATGTGGTATATTTATACTGAAAATAGTTCAGCCCATTGTGCGTCGCTGCCTAATGAGATTGGTCGTTAAATGAATGACACAAAGGCTGAAGGGGGGCAAACGGGGGGATAGAGACCCAAAGTACTCTCGCCACGCGACACAACAGAAAGATACAGCGTAACCCCGACCCCACCTCCTCTGCTCTCCACTAACAACACCTTTCATGTCGCTGTGAAAAGCTAGCGTGGACGTGGTAAGTCAGGTGGTCCTTCACTGCCCTGCTGACCATGTTTGTGTCCGTCTGTGCATCTGTGTTTGTTAAGAGAGAGAGAGGGAGAAGCCGAGAGGTGGGTAGAGGGTGAGAAAGATGCTTGGCTGGATGGAGGGTTTGATCTGTGAAATGCATCAAGACAAGTGCAGTGCTTTTTGTAAGCTGTCATTTCCAGGGTCGTGTTTGAGAGGGGTGATGCTCCCGCAAGCATGTTTCAGAGTCAGAGTTGAGACACTCTTCTTTGGATTAAACTCTTCACTGTAATTAATGCATTGTTTGTCTTTCCTTATGTACTCTTTACTTTTGTGTTCGCAATGCAGTTCCCTAAATTTCACTGTGAGGCTTGTGCATTTGAGGAGTTGTTTAGTTATGCATTGGGAAGCGTGGTGTTTTGATAATGGCATATGTGAAAACTTAAGTAGGTTCTTCCAAAGATGCAGATTAAGAGCTTGTGTTTGCTGATTTTGTGGACTTCATGCTACACAGTTA